ACCATACCCAGTGGTTTTATATCCTCATTAGCCTTTTGACTCCTGGAATGTTGGTTTTGTGAAACCTAAAACAGCCTATTTTATTTGTGAGGGTGGAGTGTGAAGTTAATTTAACTCACCAAAACTAAAAAACAAGCTTCATGTACCACACAGCAACAAGTTATATTTTGTGTAATTCAATAAAAATGACCCAAGTTGTCTATATCAACACTTAACAAAACAAGTAAATTACTAAAATAGAAAAAAAAACTGTCACTCATCTTACAGCTGTTACCAGTTGAGAAACGGCCTTGTGTGACTTTTCCAAGAAATGCAGGTTTTAGCGCTTTTAAGCTGGCTTCCTCATCCTGCCTTAGGCACTCCTGTAGGCTGTATGCACTCTTGGTTACACTCGTAATTATGAGAAAACAATTCTGAACTTCTATGAGTCAAAGTGACAAAATAAACTGACTCAACCCACAGTACTTTTGATGAATCCTTAGAAAATATAATATTTTTTGTATACAGTTATACAGTGTTTAACAAATTTATTAAACCACCAGAGAAAAAGTCATAAAAACAAGAAAATTCAAAAATCTATGCAGTGATCATTTTAAAAAAGAGTTCCCCCTTTAGAAACCCGAGCAGTGCACCTCAAACACACCCAGATCCCAGAAAGTCACCACACTTTGGATTTCTTGGTGACGCCAGTAGAGCCATGGTCTACAGGGTGTTGCTTCTTAATTTTTTATTGATGATTGTTTATGTTTGAGTGCAGTGATACTGAATCCAGATTCTCAGTAGAAACAATCTGCCCTTTAATACCTACCACACAAAAGCAGTATTGATAGTAGGTGCTGTTGTGACTAGTGATGGGTGAATGAAATGGCTCTTAGAGCCGGGTCTTTGAAGTGAACGATGCGAGTCGGCTCCTTATTGGGAACCGTGGGGTTTTTTTTCTTTCTCTTGCCCTCTCTTTCACTTTTTTTCGCTTCACGCTGCAAGTCACCCTTGTGTTTGCGCTGAGCAGAGACGCCAAACAGGGACTTGCGTTTGCGCCCCTCTGCTCAGCGCTGAGCTGAGCTGAGGGGGCGGGGACGGTAGTTACACTCGCAACAGCAGTAGCACACAACAAGAGCAGGAGGGAAAGAAAGACAGCCGGGAGCAACAACAAGAGACAACACCGTCACATTGGAAAGGTACAGTAAAGTAAATGAGTGACACCAAGAAAAGAAGCAAAGTCTGGAACCATTTCAATCGTATTGACAAAACAAAGGCAGAGTGTAGAGTCTACAAGAAAAGGATATCATATAGAGCTCCACAAACAACATGCACAGGCACCTAAGAACTGTCCACCCATCAGTGCAAAGGGAAGATAAAACGCAGTCAGTTGAGTGTGATATTAATATTTCTAAATGCCAACCTTTCCCTTAATTAAAGATCTGGGCGTTTTTTTTTTCCCCCTTTTTCCCCATGTTTTAGTTTATATTTAATTGTGTTGTGGTTTGCAGTGTTTTGTGTTGTTTCACTTTAAATTTGTTTAAAAGGAAAAAGCTGAAAATTTAAGTAGTTAAAAGTTGAAATGTATGAAATGTAAATAGTTGGTTTTTGTATTTTATAATTTATTTATTACATTTTACGTGGAGTGAATAAATAAAAGTATATTTACAGTGGCCCCTAGAGACAAAGCACGTACAAACTCCAAAACACAACGGAAGTGCTCCAGGATGCTAGGGGCTGTGTTGAGCTTTTGTTACCTAGTGGCTACACAAGCCAGGAAGTACCAACAATCAGATTGGGTGTGTGGTAGTAACAGGTAAATGAAGTTTTTTTTAATTTAAATTATTTGAATATATATATATATATATGTGTGTGTGTGTGAGTGTTTGTGTATTAATATTGTGCTTTGGAGTTTGTACGTGTTTCGTCTCTAGGGGTCCCCATAAATATTTATATATAAACATACATAAAGAAAACCACGTTTTTTTACATTACTAATTCCTTTTGTGCATAATTTTATATTGTTGTTGATAATTCATTAATTAAAGCAACAAAACAACCTGAAGAGCCGGTTGGGAGCCGAAAGAGCCAGCTCTTTTTAGTGAGCCGAGCCGAAAGAGCCGGATCTCTAAAAAGAGCCGGAAATCCCATCACTTGTTGTGACATGATGGAAACATGTTCAGTGGGAAAATGCTTGTTTGTCTCTCCAGCTGGAAAGCCCTACTGATACTCCCACTCTTACTGTTGAAAATATGACAGACATGTTTGGACTTGTAAAACAACAAGGACATTTAAATAGTTGCATATTTTCTTTTTGTCAGCATTTAAATAATTACTTATTCTTTATATCTCCTACAAATGTTTCCTGCTCCCACAGGCTCCGTCTTCTACATAGCTGGGGCTTTCTCCTTCGAACAGGCCGGACACACTTGTAAAAATCAGGGAGCTGAGATGGCATTGGTCGGCCAGCTTTATGCTGCCTGGCATTTCCATAACTTTGACCAGTGCGATGCCGGTTGGTTAAAAGATGGCAGTGTTCGGTTTCCCATCAGTAACCCCAGGGAGCGCTGTGGAGGCATTCCAGAGGCAGGAGTACGGTCATTTGGATTCCCAGACAAGAACACACATGTTTATGGGGTCTATTGCTATAGGTAATCCAAAAGCACGAGCAAGAAAGACAGAGAGACCTGAGAGACCACAATACATGTGTATACAGCTTTATATACCAAAAGATTGTCCCAAATAAGAAAGTTCATATCTGAGGCTACAGACACGTTGCACTATTGTTATTTTCAACATTATAGTAAAGTAACTATGAGTGGGTATAATAATGATTAAAAATAACTAAAAGAATGAAAGTTCAAGGAAAGTTCAACAACTAGTAGATTGCAGGTAAATGTTATAAAATAATGTTTATATGCACAATCATCTATCACTAAGCCTTTAATAATAACAGCTCTGCAAACACGTGATGTGTCTATTTAACATAACTCTTGCTTTTATATGAGCATACTCTAATGAGAATAAACACAAAGGATAAACTGATTTATGTGTAAATTAATGACACATAATTTAATTTGCTGAATAAAAAGATGACCTGTTATCAGTTTGGATGTTTTTGTATATTTTTTTCCTTACTTTCCAAAAATATCTCAGCTGCTGGAGCCTCTGTCCTTATTTATCATAGAGTGCCTGGATGTAGCCTAACTTTAAAATACTCATTTTTGACATGCATCTAGATGCCATCAGTCGTTGGAATATAAATGAAGAAAGGAGTAGCCTCTTTCTAAACTGCACAGATAAGGTCATGATGTCAAGTTGTTAATGATTTAAAGTAGCAGCAACCAGTTAAATTGCAGTTTACTGTTAAGTTTTCAGTTTCAGTTTAGCTGCTAGGTTTCAATGTGGGTCCAAGGGTGCAAGGGAAAGCTTCCTGCCTCAACAATGCATTGAAAGAAAATATTAAAGCAAGGAGGGACTTATTTAATGAGCCTTGCAATAGAAGTTAAAATAACAGGAATTATACATTTTTACACATATTTATGAAAAATATATAAAATAAAATAAAATATAGCAGTGATCTGCTTTCCTATTAAATCTCTAATGAGTACCGAGACAACCTGGTAGCTTTATGCATTTGTCTACATGAAATTTCTCTGATTTCAGGGTTGGTACTTTCCCTCATCTAAAGAAATACCAAAATTAAAGGGAATCACTGATGTCCCCTTCAAGAAAACGTTAACATAGTTTCCACATGGTGTTTAAATCAGTTAGACATGTTAGAAAACAAAACAAACTGCATCTGATTAAATCTGGAGCTAGTGTGACTCACGCTTTAATGTGACCTTATCTACATGTAAACTGTATCTATACATTCTTAAGTGATATAAAAAGAAATTTCCAAAGAAGTTCCCACCTCTTCCTCTTATCTCTGCCTTCAAGCAAGAAAACAACAACAGATGAACCAGTCCTGTGAACACAGAAGAAAAGGAAGAGCCCAAACAAAAGGGTTACTCCAGGACAGTCCCACTGTCCTGGAGTAACCCTTTTGGCCCACAACATATTACCCACAACATAATCGTGTTTCACCTTTATTAAAGGTGGCCCACAACATATTACTCCATATTGTTTGGATCAATGGATAAATTTGTCATCAGTGTACGCTATGGTGGGCAATCCTATGGCTACAAATGAGAGAAACTTAAATATTCACACTGTTTTTGAGACATAACGTCTTTAGCAATAAACCACTTGACAACAACGCTGATCATGTTTGGGGGTTTTTTTTGTTGCTTTTTTATGTTCACTGTATTTAATGTTGTGGTTAGTTTCGTTTGCTATTATAACTAATATTACATGGAAGATATTTCTCAGTTGCAAGATTCTTCAAATTCAAATATTGTATCGCAAAATATACAGTTGACTCACAGTCAAGTGAGTAGCCAAGTCTAAGCAAAGAATTTCCAAATCTTGCTTGTTGTGTTGACAATTTAATCACATTGTCTAAAGACTAACACTACACATTGCCTTGACTTACCATTTTTAAGTTTGCTTTTCAAGCCCACACATTTTTTTGTAACCTATAAGGATCTTGCTACAGAGTATACCACATAATTTCCTTTTATCTGAGATGCACTGCAATTTGAGATCTACTACCCACTTTCAGTGAAAACAGAACGCACATGAAATCCCTTTTTTAATAAAGGTGAAAGGTGAAACAAGATTGTGTGTTTGGAAATCAGCAAAGTTATAGCAGCTTCAAGAGCAATTTATAAAAGTAAAAAAATGTGTCCATTTAATGAGCAGTTACATGCTCTTTCTCCCAGTAAAGAAGCATTGTGCTATATTAGAACAGAATAGCAGCACTTCCTCGAGTGCAGCTACTCTAAGACCTCATTTGAATTTCTTTGATCGTTAGATATGTGTGAGCTATCTTAGGTTTGACACATCAGGTGGAGTTTTCAATATTAAAATTCACAGAAAACCTTCACTCATAAAGAAAAACAAGAAATCCATCAGACTGTAAGAACAACAGATTTTAGTGAATGTCAGACCAGCTGATGCTGACAATCAATTCACACTTTGCTACATTTAACACCTATCAGAAACTCATCAAACTATCATGAACAGCAGTTTGTTACAAATATGTTAAAATTACAGTGTGTGGTAGCAGCAGTCAAATTCAAGAATTCAACATTGTCAACAGGTTGATTTCAATGTCTGCTATCGTCACCTAAAACACAACAAAGGCCAGCTACAGAACGGCTGATTGTGAAAGTAAGTTACATCAGTAACAGTGTTACTAAGTCATAACTGGCTACAGTTACTGGTTCATAAATATTCCTTGATCTCTTAGCCGCCCATATCGTATTAACAGCTTGGGTCAAAAAAAATCTTTCTATATCATCTACTTGGTACTTGGTTTCCATTTGATTTGGTGTATTTCAGGTATTACAGGCTAATCATCATACATAGATACGCAAGACCTAATTGTTTCCATAATCTACAATTATTGTTCTAATTATACAACAGATCTCTCATCTTCTAACTGATTCTAATTGATTTGTATAAAAGTTGTCCACCTGCTTAAAAGTTGTCCTTCTGTATTAAAAGTAAGAATGTATTTCTTCCATACATACGCTAGCAAAAAATAGATTTTTTTTTTCTTTTTAAACAGAAACCCATTTATTCAAAAAAGGAGGCGGATGATTGTTGCACCAAAGTGTCGTCTACTGATCCAAAATGCGTGTTGGATCCTACTTTATCTTTTGATAAGGTTCACTGGAAAATTATTCTGGGAATCATATTTTTTTCCATGCATGTCTAGATCGAACTGCATTTTTAAACAATATGAACAGATTTTCCTTGATTTCACAAACATTTTAGACACGCTTTGGTCAACACTGTAAAACGCATATTTAGATTAGAGCACTTTTCCAGAATTGTCCATTATTGCAGGAACTGTAACCTTGAGATGATGTTAAAATGAGCAACTTGTTTTATTCGGGGCAATTTAATGCAGAAACTGGGCAGGACTAACTTATAAGAAACAAGAAAAGTGTGAAAACAGGAGAAGGAATGTTTGATTTTTGCTTTAAATAAGGCAGGGTGGCTTTAAACATTCCAGTTAATGTCCCAGTAGAGCGGGGCTGCTTTCTCTGTGGCTGTACCCATGGCCTCCTCGCGCTGCTCAGCATGTACGGTAACTAGGTCCTCTTCTTCTGAATGAGCTAAATGTGTAAGGAAACAGGGAAAAAAGAAATGATTGCAGAGATTAAAAGACTGATTTACCATATTTTTAGGACTTTTTTCCATGTAAGCTGCTTTAGATTAGTTTGCTCTCTATAATCTTTGTATAAATGAGCTTCCTGTACTCAGCTGACACTCCTACAGCCTCATAATTAGGGATGGGTATCAAAAACCGGTTCTCGTTGAGAACCGGTCCCACTGTTTCAATTCCTTGGAATTGTTTGCCATTTTTGCAAAGGATTCCCTTATCAATTCCAGTCGCCCCAAATGACGTCACCACATTGCGGAGCATCATTTACCTGGCAGGAAACATGGCGGCTCAAACGCTCAAAAGTTTGATTATGCTTTACGAGAACGGATGACATCAGGGCAACTTGTAATACTTGTAAAGTAGATATTTCATTTAAGGGAGGAAACACTACGAATATGCAAAAGCATTTGCTCACAAAACACGTGATGACCTTAAATGAATGTCATGTTTTTAATTCCACTCCGGACTCGTGAATCTCAACCCAGCAGCAGCGGTAACGTTTGCACGTCCTCTCCCGTTAATGTGGCAGGTAAATAATCAACTAACAGTGCATATTATGTTAGCGCGATCTGCCTTATTACAAAACCTGCCATTACTGTGCATTTAGGTGATCATGATGAGAGAGACAGACAGAGTCTGGCTCAGATGCTGGCAGTTCTCGCTGCAGTCTACCGGTAGCGTCTCCTTTCAGGCCAGGATAGACGAATGTCACCGAGCAGTGACTAAGTTTGTGCTTAAAGGCTTGCACCCATTTGCCACAGCAGATGCCCCCGATTTTCGGTAAGTGAATGTGTTTAATTGTAGGCAGGGACATTACTGGATATTCTTGTGTAATTGCTACAAAATAATTTATGTTATACTTTGTTATTGCTACAGAAGAATATTTATTTTATTATTTTACATTTACAATTTTTTTCCTGGGGACCCTGTGACACCCCATTGAAGAGCCACAGGCTGGATCTCTTAAGATCTCACTGTTGGGTTTGTAAGGCCATGTTACTCCTAAATTTCTATCTTATTCAAAGAGAAGATATAAAACAAAGTTCTAAGCTATTCGACCTTAGTGTTCTCCTTTTTTAAAAAGAATCGATAAGAGAATCGATAAAGAATCGAATCATTAAACAGAATCGAAAATGGAATCGGAATCGTTAAAATCTTATCAATACCCATCCCTACTCATAGTGGACAGTCTCAGCTGAATCTAAGATATTCTTTCTTGCCCAAAGTTGGTATGTTCAGTACACCTTAACACCTGCAGACACTTTCTTTTAGTCCCACTCTTGGCCATTATGTCACGTTACTTCTTGTACTACAGAGGTCAATACATGCATGTCTGATTTTCTATTATATTGTTCACTCAGACTGAAAAAATATCTTTTTTAGGGACTAAAAATAGAGCAATATTTCACTGATCTGATATCTGAAGATATTCTGTTGTAAGGCTTTTAGGTAAAAAAAAAATATCAGAAAAGTGCTTTTGTATGTAATTTACATTATAGTCACATATTACATTGCAGAAGCACGTGACTGTTTTATAGTAATAGGTGTAACTAATCATGCTCAGACATATGATGGACTTACTTGGCATGCAGGTAATTTGAGGCTCTTCCCACTGGCCACCTGGCAGGCATTTAATGACAGGATTCATTTTCTGGACAAAATCCTCTTCACAGTAGTATCGCACTTTGGTGTTTGTCTCGTAACGCAACCGCTTTTTCCCAAACACCTTGGCATGGGGAACATGGGGGGGCTCACCACAGGAGGCTGTTGGAAACCACTTTGAGTCTTAGATCTTTACTCTTTTTTTTTTCTTTTTTTTTTTTAGAAAAGGAGTTTAAAAAAGAAGGAATTAGGGGAGATTAAAATGAGGTGAACTCACTGACGCCCTTCTTGCAGGTGTATGACAAGTGGTAGTTGCATGGCACGTCGCTCCAGCGGCCTCCATCATGCCACACCATCACCGCACAGTCCTCACCAGACAGGAAGTAGCTGTCAGGCTGCCCTTTGTACCAGTTTTCATAGAGCTGACAAAGAGAAGTGAGCAGATTTGAAATGACATAGTAATCTGGTTGATTGTGCTCTCATTCTCACAGTCATAAATCAGGTGACTAAACAAACCAAATGTAAGAAAATCATGTTAAACAGCTGATAAATCCTCTGAATCTCAAACATGTCAGGTCAAAACTAATAAAACTCACCAGTGGGTTTCCATCTGACCAGCGGAAATCTCCCTCAATGGTTCTGTCATTTAGTCCAATCCACTGATATTCTCTGTATTTTTCTAAAATTAGCATAAGAATATATGTATTATATATATTGTTTATTAAGTCATTGCACTTTTTTAGGACAATTTGTAGACAGTTTTCTGTTTGTTGCCATTTTTTTTTTTCAAATTAGTAAACCCTATTTTTACTTCTGAGAAACACTGCCACTCTAAGATGCTCGTCTTATATCCAATCACCTTTTGCCAATTAACCTAATTAAATTATGTTTGTCCAGCTGTTTCTGTGTTGTACTGTGAATAATGCACTTTATGACATTTGCAAATCATTCTGTTTTTATTTACATTTTACACAGCATCACAACTTTTTGTTGTGATAAAAAAAATGCTTCATGTTCCCAATGTAACATTTATCCACAGCATGTAAACAATATACTAATATATTTTCACACTTAAACTGTTTGTCAGCAACAATAATTTGAATTAAAGTATGTTTTGTGAGAAAATTATGAAAGAAAAAAATCTTTTGTGGTACACATTCCTGCTTTAAAGTTCTCTGCTGTTTTGGGAAGCCGGCTGCTTTTCACATCCTTACATAAGAGTATCAGTTAATAGGATCAGTGCCCACTGCCTGCAGAGCACAAGGAGCCGCCACCACAGCGATGTCAGATAACGATGTCATCGCCCCTTAGCAAGACAAAATACCAACAGCAGCTGTGAGTCACTGCCATGTTCTTGGAAAGAAAAACAAATTCCAAGTGATGAAAGACACGAGAGGTTATTGTTGTGTCTTGTCTGGAGAAAATCTCAGCGTCTCGTTCCTAAAACAAACTCATGACTTTTCATTTTTTAACAGTTTGACTCATGTTGAAGCATGAAAAGTGACTGGTTTGACACCTGCCTCTGCATGGCAAGGCACAAAACCCAACTGCACAAAACCCAAAGAGAACTCAGCTATTAGAAACAACAAAATTCATACTGTCCTTTGATTGGGAATGTGACTGTTTTTTACAATGAATTTTAGATTTTATGCGTGGAGAACAAAATATATTATGCATTACTGACCACTGTGCCAGCATCTACCAACGTTTCTCCACCTCGATTAGGTTACGGACATTTGAAACAAATGAACAAAAATATTTGTACTTATTTCAGTAACTAAACTTAACAAGTACCATTAAGTTTTTCATGGGAGCAACCCTCATACTCAACTCTGCTGCTCAACCCACACATGCGGGGAAATAAACAGGTTTTCCAACTGTATAGGACTTACTGCCACAAAGCATTATTACAACAAAGAAATAAATGACCAAATACATACTTTCTTACTTTTTGTGACAGGTTTATTTTTTAATGTTGTGTAATTCAGTGTATGCTTCTTAGACATGAATTGCATTTTTCAAGTAAGTATTTCAAAGCTTTGCAAGATTACCCAGTGCAAACATTAAAAATATACAGACAATCTAAAACTTTGTCATCATTATTTGTGTGATATACTTGACGTTTCTTCAGCTTCAAGAAGTAACATTTAACTCGTGCAGTCAAATGATGTTTTTGCTTCCTGATTACAAAATCTTTGATAATCATATGAGTCACTTGAGTCATGTTTTACCATTGATGTAGTCCTGCTCCTCAGGAGTCATGACAGAGAGCAGATGCCCGCCGCACATCCGACAGTGCTGCTCAGCTGCCTCCCAGCTCTGCCGCTTGCTAAAATGACGATAACAATATCCTTGAAATTTCTCCCAGCCTGGCTCACACATCTCCAGGTCTGAGACAGAAGAAAGGACAGAAAAATATCAAGAAATGTATTAAGTCTGAATAAGTAGAAAGGTTGGCTTATGTTTGGAAGATTGTACATCTGTATTTTATGGTGCTATACCTTTCTGGCAAAAGTCTCCTCCATAACCAGGTAGACAAAAGCATCTTAACGATTCACCGTCAACACAAGTGCCTCCATTCAAACAGGGATTCTCCAAGCAGGAGTCTGTAGATATGAGAAATGACAGTTATAACAGAGATCCAGAAATATTTCAGATGTGTGCATTATTCTGTATCTGTGAAACTAATATTTATGAAATTTAAAAAAACTGCATACTTTATTCATTGTATTAAATTGTCAGAGTCCATGTATACAAACATTAATTTCCCAGCTGTTTTCTATGTTAATGGGGATAAAATTGCATATATGTGTCTTATTTTATTGACAATTATACAACTTATTGCTTAAAAACTCAAAATACACTTAAAAAAAGGAACAGATTATAAAGATAAAACTGCTCAATTGACTAGTAGGCTGTCTGATTTTCAAATGTAAAACCCCTTCAAAGACACACCAGCAGAGGGAGCTGTTGCCTCAAACATGGTTTCTCCAAATTAGTTTCCAGTATTTACTCTGTTAGTCAAATTTTAATATTGCAAGTCATTTAATGTCATTTTAAAAATGGGTTTCTTTTTTAAAAAAAACAAAAACAATCTAACATTTTTAATTCCCTGAAGTGATCCTGCACATTAAGAAAGAACATCCTTCATTCCAGACTTACACATGAAATACAATATTTGAACTATAACTACAACAAAATCAACTCAAGGGATTTATGAGTCCGTGATGACATGACCTGGCTGTTCTTTACACTAAAATAACGAAATTATGTAAATAACAAATCTAATCTAAACTAATAACTGATCCATCCGTTGAGTTGCGTCAGCCTGAAGTCTTAAACCAGCAGTATAGGACTGGGCTATTTGATGAAAATCTAATATCGATATATTTTGGGGGGCTCTATCACAATGCACGATATATATCGCAATATGTCTTGAGCCGCAGTGCCCCTGGTACCGGGAGCAAGCGGGAAGCTACAGTTTAACCCTCTGCGCAGTATAAAATAAAACTCCACATTTGGCATTTTCCTAATCACACCTTACTCTTCCCAAAACACTGATAAGCATCAGCTGCTGTTTCTATTTGCACTTCTTTCTGGAGTACAGATACCTGAAAAGCCTCCTTTTCCTGCAGCTGAAACTTTGGCAGCAGGCAGGGAGGCAGCCATGGCAGTCTGCTCGTTCCCTTCAAAATACACAGGGTATATGGTGGGAGCAATGATAGTCATATCACTGTTGTCTGTGGTCAGTGCTGAGCTGGAGATCTCCTCCTCTTCAGGACGCCATGTGCATATTTTAACTGAAGGCTCGTCTGTGCCGGTCACCTCCATACTACCATGGGATCCATGTTCTGCTGAGACATTTCACAACATGTTCACAAGTTAATTTTAAAATCAGACAACAACTTTCTTGGAGTTTGTGTAAGTTGTCTAGCTCTCCGTGAGTAAATAAATATGTGGCTTATTAGAAACAGATATGTCCAGACTTCAGTACAACGCACTATGTAAGACGGTAGAAGAGGTTACTGTTAGATAAACAAAATATTTTTTGTGAAGTATCTAATTAAGACCTTTAGAGGAGACATATTATTCACAATCTACTTTGCCACTGTTGTGTGCATAATTAGGTATCCCCAATGTGTCAAGACACATAAAACATGAGAAAATAATGTTTCTTTGATTTCTTTCATTTGGATCAGCAATCATATCTGTGGACCAATAAAATTTGCAGCTGTGGTGGCAAGCACAGCACTCCATCCATAAATAGATATGCCTGAAAAGCAAGAACTCATAAATGAAAGACAAACTAAGGCAGTTTGCCACTGTTACTTCACTGCTACAGCCACCAGAGCATGTCAAATGCTGTGCTTTTGCTGAACGAGCAAAGCTGGGTCCAAGTATTTGGAGGACATTTGAAAAGAACAGAAGATTCATTGATTTACTATTATTTTGATAGAAAATGGAAAATCTTAAGTGTGCCATTACCTTGATAGGCCGAAGATATGCCAAAAGAAGTCAAGAAGCAGGTTGCAAGTTTTTGCTTAATAGGTTAATAGGGCACAAAGTCCTGCTGTTAGAGTGATGTTACCAAGGACGAATGACCCTAAGGTTCATTGATGCTTAGATAGAGTGGCATATGCAGTAGTCACATCCACATGAATGCCAGTATCTGAACTGTCAGAGCAGAACATTGCTTGATCTCTTCTAAAAGAGGTTTTCTCATCTACATTTTTTTCTTAGTTTCTTGTGACTGAAATGTGACATATGGTCTAATTAACCACCCAGAAGCCGCTTTCCATTTTTCTATAATAATACTATGTCTCACACATGACTTATGAATGACAGTGATTTCATACAATGGTCACTTAAAAAGTAAAAGTTTGTCATTAAAAGGTTACCATTTCCATCAATGTCAACTGACTCACAGTCAACTGAAGGAGCTGTTACTCCCGTTTGCAGCTCTACTGTGTCTGACAGAGATGTTATTGTAACAAACAGCAGCTCTTTTGGAGTTATAGCTAAAAAACATGTTAAAAAAAAACCCCAACAACAAAAACTGGATGGTACAGGCCTATAAACAAGGGTTTATGAATGATCTGCATGGTTTCTTCAGCTAAAACTTACAATACACATACTGGGAACATGTGCGCCCTACATTTATTTGTTAGAAAGGGGTGTCGGACCCTTTTAAACTTTACCATTAATGGTCCCGGTGTTGATCTCTTGCTCGTTAGAAGCATCATCAGTTTCCTCAGGAGCAGCAGCAGGCTCAGCGCTATATTCTCGATCAGACCGAGACTCCTGTGGTGTGGCAGGAGAAAGCTCAGGTTCCCAATTGGGTGTGAGTGTTAAATGAGGGATCAGAGTGATTTTTATCTCTGAATGAGGTGCATTCGTGCCAGCATCACCATTAACTCCTTCTGAATTGGTGTCCCCTGAGTTTTCTGGGTTTTCTCCTGACGATTTACCTGGTCCTTCTGTGACATCTTTATCGGTCTCCTCTGGTGCAATATTTGTGATATTTTGGGCTGTATGGAGGATAATCACGGAGCTGTCTCCTAATCCCTCCATTTCGGGTTTATCCTGAATGTCGTCCAATGGCTCAGCCCCAGATGAAACGTTGCTTTCTGGTATGTAGGTTATTATCTCTGAACTGGCTTCAACTTCAACAGGAGGAGGAGATAAGGTTGCAGAGATTGGGGATCCCAACAATAAGACAGGTTGGTTTTTTAGAACAGGAGCGTCGATGCTGAGGCCTGTGTCGTCTGAGAAAGTGATGACCTCCGCAGTTGAGATTACAGTTGGAGGGTTGTGTCCACTCTGCTCTGCCAGATCATCTGTTGCCACGTCTCCTGAAGTGCTACTCAATTCCTCAGCGCTATGCTCAATTGGGATGGAGGACTCCGTTACATCTGAGTGGGCTTGAGTAGGATCGTAACCTGCAAACAAAAACAAAAAAATCTCTACACTTCTGAAGCAATTTAGACTGATAATGGGGAAACACAATGCATGGTATAATGCTAAAAACTAGTAAAGTAGCAAAGAAAAGTAGCATTTTGGGTATTGGAAATATAAAAACCGTTTACAGGCCTAGACAGAAAATTGTGTTTAAGATATACATAATGTCACTGTGGGTCATTTGGGCAACTTTTTGTTGGATGCAGATGTGGACAGGCAGGTGGGCTGACAGTACCATTTAATGGTGCTCAGAAATAATGTAGCAGTGTGCAGAACAACATACACACACACAATCTCTACCAGTAGATGAAATATACAACCTTTAGAACTCTAGAAACTCTAGAAAGAGTAACTCTTAATGAAAATAGACTGCCATTTACTCTGAATGACTAATCAAACAATTTAAACTACAGCTCTTATTTAACCATGTACTATTTTTTCTATATTTTACATATTTAACCACATCTAATCCATGGCTAGTTTTAGAATCACTAGTTAACACTTTTGGGAAGAAACCCCCAGACACAGATGGAGAATGACTGCAGCCAGGGTTCAAACCTTCCTGCTGTGAAGGCACAGTGCTAATCACGGCACTACGACCCGTCTTATGGGCTAAATTTCACATTTAAATCTCACTTACTTGAATCAAGGTTTGACTTAGTGACCACTTTGGTTATGGCAGTGGTGTCCAAATCGACTGTCACAGAATGCTCCTGTTCTTCATCTGGAGAATCATCAGCTGTACTTTTATCAAAAGCAAAAGCTGGCATCGGTGAAGTGGCAAGAACATCTGTTACCTCAGTGTGGAGTGAAGTCATTGCCACTGATATCTCCTCAATAGTACCAGTGCTGGCTTCTTCTGGCTGTTCTGAAGCATCATAAGAGGTGCTCACATAGACAAGCTCAGTCACTGAGGCATTTTCCTCAGGGACATATGGAGTGTGGTCCTTTTGCAAAACAGGTAAATCCCACTCTTGATGCACCTCATCAGCTCCAGATGTGGCATTACTAACTGGCACATCTGGATTTTCAGTCATAGAAATATGATGCTCTGTGGGTTCTCCACTTTCTGGATCTGCCACATCAGTTATGGGTATAATGGAGTAATAACCAACTGTAACTACATTATCTGTGTTTGGAGAAGGGGATGAAATTATATACGACTCCTCGTGATCTGTGTCTGGATCCTCTTCGGGTGCTGGCTGATAGGACTCAGGGTAGTTGGCTTTCTTTACCAGTTCCCAAGTGTCATTGGTGGACATGTGCTCTTGGTGATCAGACAGAGGAGTTGCAGTCTGAGGAATGTCTGCTGTCAATTGTGATATTGTCACTGTGTGAGCATCGACAGTACCCTGCTTTATTGGATTTGTAGTCTGGGCAACTCCATCTGTCATTGCTTCACTTTTGCTGACATCCTCCTGCGAGGACGTAGTTACAAAAACAATATCTTGGCCAATATCCTCTGGCTCAGTGGCTAAAACCTGGGGAGAATCTGTGTAGGGGCCATTATCACCTGGAGAAAGAAACATAATTTGAAAAAAAAAAAACTGAATTCACAATATCCTTATGTTTACTGGGATCTTCATGGCAATAAATGTAAAATACCAAGTTGAATTTTACGTAATAAAGCTATATTTCTTTTCTGTCCTTTTATCCATGAAACTACCTACAAAAGCACCGGCACTGAGGGGACAGAATAAACTCAAATAGAAATTACACGACTTGCTCTCTTACTTCTGAAGCAGTAGACATCATGTCGAGAGTGGGTCTCAGGAAAGCCCGTCTGGTTGCTGTATCTGTAAACGGTTCTGACCCCAGGTTCACCACCTCCACAGCGCTCTCTAGGGGTGACAATGGGGTACCGCACACTCCCGTCTGCCAGCCACCCTGGGCTGCAGTGATTTAGTCCGTCATTCCAAGCTGCATAAAGCTGAGCAGTGGTGGCCAACTCTGCACCATGACTGAGACAGTAGGCCTTTGCCTCACCAAAGGTGAAACGCTGGGGGGTGGAGCCATGGAACACCTCACCTTTCAAACAGAGAAACAATAATGTTGACATGTTACTTTTGCTACATTTTTACTAGTGATGTGCGATACCACTATATTTCCTTTCCGATCCGATACCAAGTAAAATTCAGGGTGGTATCGACGATACTGATCTGATACCGATACTCCGTACAAAAACTTAATGCTTCATTGTATTTCATAATACAATATATAATTGTATTATGTAATTGTAATAATGATATAATAATATAGCTTCATAATGATTACAGGACATCAGACTACTTGTTCTTATTGCTTAATAATGCAGAATTATCATATAGAAATTCAGTTCGACTCAACATAAGCTCATCATATTCTGTGATATGATTTACTCTGAGGTGTTTGACGAGGTCAGTGGTGTTGCCACAAAACCTCACTGTCTTGCCACATATATCGCAAACCATGTCTTGGCTGTTTGTGGCGGTAAAATACGTCCACACATAAATCAGTTTACGCTCAGCTATTGTTGCGAGTGCGCACGACAGGGGCTGTAACACATTTATACAGCCATATTTCGCATATGACTATGAAAGGTGTAAGAAGTAGTTCCTTCCAATTTAGACGATCTGAATGATATAGTTTCTTTTCACTGTGTTCCTGTTGATGAAAAACTACAAATTTACCCCAAAGTACTAAAATATGAATATTTTAATATGAGAATCGATTCTAGAACATAAATTGTTGGTATCGGAAGAAGATCCGCACACCACTAATCTTTACATACTATGTCTAATAAAGCGGGCAATTGCCATAAAGGTATTTTTGATCATTAAGGGTTTCAAGGCATGCTTTAAGTGCAACTAGGCGGCGATATGCTTGCTCAGATTTAGCAAAAGTTTTTACCAAAGTTTTAAGAACCCCAGTGATCCTCTAAAAATAAATTGTTACTAATCATAGAAATCGCTTTTATGCTAAAAGGAAAGAAACAAGCAGGTTTTACACATTTAACACATCACAGAACCATATCATATTACTGAATCTGCAGTTTTTAAAACTGGTGACAAAATATACAAAAAGAGTACAAAAATAAGACACAGGTTTTATCATAAAATACATTTAACATTAAAAACTTGTGAAATGCATTTTACAAGTTTTTAATAGTTGTATTACCATGAATATTCTCCACATAGCAGTACACGTCATATAGCTCATCGGGCTCTAATAGTCCATAGTTCCTCACTCCTGGCAAGCCATCCATGTCTCCAAAACAGCCCTCTCTTGGCATCTGAATGGGGTATCTGTGGATGGAAATGCCAAACATCACTGAAGCACCTCTTCTTCTCTAATGGCAGCACTCTAAACATGGCACTTGTGTAAGTACATTTGTGAGTAGGTCTTGAAGAGCTGAAATGTCTGGTTTGAGATCAGATGAGTGACTCTCAGGTACTTGACAATCTCTGTGTTATAATGTGGAGAGCATATCAAATATTAGCTATCTGAGTGGAGCACTATCATCCCCCGAATGACTGACCTCTACACTAAATGCTCTTTTTTCTACATAGAAAACAACAAGTCAATCTACAATGTCAGGCCTGATGTTTGTTTGGAGCTGAAGAAAGGATTTGGATTGATTGCAAATGTACGCTGAAAACAACCTTGAATTAATTCACATAAAATGCTTAAAAGGCCAAACATTGCCAAGTAATGTGCCCTGTCCTCTCAGGTCCTCACCTCACAGAGTGGTCTGAGAGCCAGCCTGCATCGCACTGCTCATATCCGCTGTTATAAGAAGCAAGTAGCTGCTCTGGGGTAGCGATGTCAGCCCCGATGTCCTCACAAGCCTCTTTAGCCTGCTCAAAGGTAAAAGCGTAGCGGCTGGATGCATCGCGGTAGTGAAACACCACACCTGCAAAAAAAAGAAAAGCTTTGTGAAATCTGTGCAGATCTTGTAAAACATGTAGTACTAAACAAGCACTCACATAAACAGATATCACAAAGAAAAGTACATTATTGCAGAGCACATTATCAACATGATAAAATCAAATCATAAAATTATAAAAAAAAATAACTTAACTAACTGCGATAGAATGCACTTTGCAGTTTAATCTTTTGACTTAGCTTTAAGATTCCTGTAATGGTTTCATTACTCCATCGGTGGCTGTTCCAAAACACAAGTATTTTTAAGCTTAATTGGCTTCAGCTGAGCATATGCTGCTTGGCTACATGCTGAGAATGTCACCACTTAAACAAAAGATGGGCTGCATGTTGTATTCACCGTGATTGGGATTCGTCTTGTATATTAGAAGGGGACATGAAACGCTATACATATAAAGGCTAATATACACCATTGAGCCTGCTCTTGAAAAACAGACATAGGTGTAACATTGTCTGTGAAGCTGGATTTAAGAAATAAGTGCTTAAAGTTTTAAAAACATGTTTACGACCATCTTGTGTCTGTGAGTGTGTCATGACATCATGTGTTTGGTTGGTTGCGGCTAACAGACTTAGTTTAAGCTAAATAGTGATAGAATCAATACCTCAGTGGAAAACAAGGACTAATGTAAGTCTATTAGCCGCAGCCAACCATTCAACCACATGACGTCACGTCCCCTACTGACAGAAGACAGCAGTAAACTTTGGCTTCAAGGACTTTTCCAGCTTTAATCCGGCATTACATCTATGTCGGTTTTTGAGAGCAGGGCTCAGTGGTGTATATTAGCCTTTATATGTGTAGTGTTTCATGTCCCCTTTAAATTAATTAAATGGAATCTGAAATGAATTCCTTTCTTCTGTTAACTACAAGAAGAAGTTGGTTTATTTCCTTAAATTTACATCCCAACAGCCCAACCTTATTGTGACCTTAGTGAGCAATACAATGGAATTCTTGTCATTATTTAATGCAAACTTCGTGAAACCAGCATTCAGAGCCTGATATATTAGCTCACAAATTACTGTGGTCAGAATATCCATATTGTATTGCTTTGAGAGGGCAAAGTCATTCATCACACATGCTGAAACTGTGCATACTATTGATACAGAAACAGGAGAGAAACAGCAGCTTTTCTTTTGTTCTTTAGGGAACGGTTGACCTTATTCCTTTTCATCGTATTGACTGGGACACTTTTCTTTGACTCGGAGTCAAGACACACCTGACTTACACCACCGACTCACTCATACCTGGGCAAGGCCATTTCACTATTTTACTAAGTCATTGTGACATTATTGCTTGTGGAATAACTACATGATGTGGTTCGCTCTGTTTATTTTAGTACGAAAGGTGGCACGCATTGCTTTTTTGTCTGTGTAAAAAAGTTGTGCTTTGAAAAGCATCACGCACAGCAAAATGCACTAAAAAGACATTGAAGGAGATTTTGCCATTCATCTAAAAGAATGTTGATATTTATTTGAAAAGGGAAGGTGAAAAACTTTCAGGTCGCTGAAAACATCTCTTTACATAAAGTCAAACTCCACTACAGGCCTGTTAAATAAACTCCCCGTGCACAGATTTCTTGATAACAGCTAGATATAAACTCCAAATCTGCTAAACTTTCACCTCTGAACCAAAGTTAACCTGATTCTAGCCTTAAATGATTGGAATTATGTTGAATTCAATCGTTCCCTGTAGTGTTTCAGACTAAAGACCAGATTTAGCCCAGAAAACAACATTCATGGACAAGTGATGCTGGAGGTATATCTGTGTAGTATCTATCATTATACTGTTAACAGTAGGAACATTTCACAGCTAAACAGATAAAAACAGATGTTTTAAATCTCAAGTAGCAAAACCTTGACCATCAGATGTGTAAATAAGTCAGTTTCTAATAGATTCACGACTATCATTGATAGAAATTACATTTGCGTGTTATTCACTGTGTGAAAGCAGCTAAGAGTAAAGTTTCTAAAACGATTCCGAACTCACTGCACATGTTCATGGTATTTGGTCTATGGCCATTAATTCATAAACAATTTAAGTGTAGCTTAATTTTAAAAGGGAAATTCTTAGTATGTTCATTTATTGACCACATTATATTATGTTGTTGACTGACAGTCTGATAAAAAAAATATATATATATATGTCTCACCTTTGACCTTGACCTGCACAACATCATTAGCATCCTCGAGACCTTGCTGCACCTCACAGCGGTAAAAACCAGTGTCATTCTGCCTCACGCTCTCAAGACGCAGGGTGAGGTCAGCGGGGGAGTAGGCATAGTTGAACAGAGAGGCCCGTTCCTTGTAGGCCTCACTGACCCTCACTCTGTCACCACGGGCCACCAGGATCTCTGTCTCCATGCCATGATTCAGGATACTCCATTTAATCCGGGGGACAGACAGCACAGCGTGGCGACCATTGGTAGAGGGGGATGGCGGCGGGTGTGCCAGAGACACCAGGCAGGGTAAAGTCAGAGAGCCACCAAGCACCGCAAACACAGGTTGGGTGGCTGGGATGGTTACATGGAGAAGCTTCGAATCATCTGAGAAGAGGCAAGCTTTAAAGTAACAAGCGACCTTTTGTAATGCACTCTAATTTTTTATAAGAATCAGATGAGAAGGTCAAGACCACTGTCATGTTTGTGTGTTAAGTACATATCCAAACCCTCACAACCATGCCTTTCTAACTTTCTCTCTAAAATGCTCAACCTGAGATGCCCCTTATATACATTCATATCTGGTCACTGTACAACTCTGCTACCTTTAGTTTTACCTCCTGTCTTTTTGCTACCATATCCAAACTAGGCATCATAGTGTAGGTCTCACTGCCACCTTCTAAACTGTCCTTTTTCACACTTGCTGCTATCCTTCTGTCACATATCACCCTTGACACACTCTCTTCTTCACCTCTTTTATGCACCGGCTGACCCCAGGCACTCATTCACCTTCACTACCACCATATTTGCATTATCTACCACTGAAGCAGTAGAGAGCAGTGATGTGGCTGTAGTGAACACGTATTTCAAGGTGGATTCGGGGGGAAATGTAACTAGGCGTAGGGTGACCTTGGACGGGAAGAAGAGGTAGTGAGTGAAGGTAGATCCAAGAATGAAATGGTGGAAGTTGAAGAAGGAAGAATGTTGCAGGGAATTCAAGGAGGAAGAAATTGGGCGATATGGTAGAGTTACCAGATGCATGATGAAGGAAGCTGCCAAGATGGTGTTTTGTATATCCTATGGACAAAGGAAAGTGGATAAGGAGACTTGGTGATGGAATGAGAAAGTACAGATAAGCATTGAATGGAAGATTTTGGCAAAGAAAAAGTAGGATAGTGAAGGAGTAATTTGAGGCTGTGGTTTACAGCAAATAGAGAGGTGGTAAAAAAATGAAAAAGGCTTATAGTGATTTGTATGTGAAGCTGGAGACTAAGGAAGGAGAAAGAGACTTGCAGCATTTGGCTAGATAGAAAGACTGAACTTGAAAGGATGTGCCGGAGGTTAGGATGATTAAAGATATAGGTGGTAACATACTAACAAGTGAAGAGAGTGTATTGAGAGTGTTGAAGGAGTCGTTTGAGGAACTGAGGAATGAAAATGAGAGAGAGAATAAGGCAGATGGAAAAAACGGTTCCTACAAAGCAAGTGAGGGCAGCTTTGGAGAGGTTGAAGACTAGGAATGTGATTTGTCCAGAGGATATGCCTGTGGTGGTGTGGAGATGTCTTGGAGAGAGCGTAGTGGACTTTTAAACCAGATTTCTGAACACAAATTTGGAGAGTGAGAGGATGCCTGAGGAGTGGAGAAGTGAACTGGTACCGATTTTCAAGGACAGGGGTGATGTACAGCGCTGTAATAACTACAGATGGGATAAAGTTGATGAGCCATATCATGAAGATATGTGACAGAGGTGTTAAAGCTAGGTTAAGCAGAGAGGTGACGATCAGTGAGCGGTAATATGGCTTCATGCATTACAGATGTGATGTTTGCTTTGACAGGAGCTGCGCTGTTTCTTTGCGTATCTAGTGAAAGCATATGATTGGGTGCCAAGAGGGGAACTGTGGTATTGTGTGAGGAAGTTAGAAGTGACAGAAAGGTATTTGAGGTTGGTGCAGGACATGTATGAGGACGGTGAGACAGTGCTGAGGTGTGTGATAGGAGTGACAGATGAATTTCAGGTTAGCACGAGATTACATCAGAAATTGTCTCCAAGCCCTTTCTTCTTTGCGATGGTGATGGACAGGCTGACAGATGTGGGCAGGCAGGAGTCTCCGTGGACTGTGATGTTTGCGGACAATGATGTGATTCAGTCACTGGTAAGTTCAAAATCAAACTCTGGTGGGTAAAATATGAAACATGGCTGAGGTTTTAAATAACAGTGTCGGTGTCCAAAGCAGAGGAAAGTTGACTTAAAGAGAGGGAGACATTACATTTAATTCATGTTTGTCAGACAGTGGATGAACCGAGGGTGTGCACCAAAACCCAGAAGGAAATGTGAATCACATAAAATTACTCTAGAAGAGCCCAAGAATAAGAAAGAAATGAAACTAGAAATGAGCATAAAAGGTCAATTTTAATTAGCTACTTCTTGGGTTATTATACATACTATTCATTGATGACAATTGTGTAAATATTTGTGTTTTAGTAATATTATATAAATTAGGGACACACAAACATGGCTCAGCCACTTCTCTTAAACGTAGACACAATGATGTTTCAACAAAATCTAATGTTAGCTAAATACAGTTACAGCTTTCATCCTGATGATGGTACTAGATGAAAAGTTAAGGGATTGCCTGTTGATATACAAAATGAGCCATTTGATTACTTTTTCTTTAATTTTCTTATTCTTTTGCTGACACAACGAAAGAGCTACATTTACATAGCGGCATCAATTAACCTTGATTTTTAGCTGGAACACTCAGATACCTTTGAGCATGGCTTCCACAGGGTGCATGTCAGCAAAAACAATAGATGACATCAAATGATTTAAGAGGACCCTACTGCCCTAAAATGTTAGAGGTCAGGTGTGATTTAATGAAGCTGTGGATGTCAGTAGTGGATGGCAGTGGTGAAAGTGACGGAGATAGAAAGGGAGAGGTGCATACCAGGCTCATGGAGGGAAGTAGAGGGCGATAGCAGGACAAAGAAACAGATGGCGCACAGCAGCGCACGCAGAGGCACATCCAGCCTGTGGGTAAAAGACAAGAAAGGAGACAGAGGGACATAATGTGTGAACCTGAATATGACAAGGAGTTCTCCAGTTTGAACAACATGTCTTTTAGGCATACTACTTCCTAATACCCTATCTTCACTTTCAGTTATAGTACCCAGTGCATTAAATTTAAATCCCTTTTCATCAAACAAACAAAGAAAAAATTCTAATTAAATTAAAAAAATAAATGATGAGTTGAAGTGCAAAAGAAGCAAAGGTTCTGTCACAGGAAGGATTATTGTCATTATTTTTCTTAATAAAAACAAATAAAACATATTTTTTGTGTTACAATATTGTGAATTAATCTAATGCTTTACATGTTATCATTTGTTTCTCAATTTTTGTCCAAAACCTGCTAAAATACATCACTGAGGCTTCCCAACAACAACAGTAAAAACAGATAACTCTTCTCTCTGGATGATGTAACATTCAGAGCTACTTAGGTGCTTGCATGTCTTTGGTAACTTCAATTTCACAAGCCGATGAAAAGCCTTTTTTTTTTAACATTGACACTTTTTCAGTTTTCTTTCTTGTTTCTATTTTGTTTGTTGTTAGGTTTTTATTTGTTACTAAAAATGACAACTGCAGTCACCCGTTTTTGAAAGGGTCAAACACTTTTGATGTCAGCCGCTGAAATGCAGCTTTTAAAGAATTACAAAACAGTGTGAACTTGACTTCTTGTGCCAATAATGCAGCCTCACTGAAAAACTTGAAGGCAACTTTTTAGAGTGCACTACTTTTATCCTTTTTTAAGCATTCTTGGTTCATGACATTGTAGACAGCTGCAGCTGCTGTTCCACAACACCTGACAGCAAGTATCTGCAAATATGAGTGTCTCACTAAGGAGAGAATAAAAAAGACACGCACTGATTTGAGAGATTCATCAAACTCAAAGCAGACAGGTAGTGACACCTGCTTTCATATCATGTTTAAACTGTCTAATAAAGCCAGTGAGCGGATAACATGAGCATCTTTGCAGGAAAAAATGAGAGAATGATGAGCGTAGCCATCAAAAGTAATGCTGATACAACCACAAAAGATACAATTTAGAACACTGCAGATAGGAAACACAAAGGACTTTTTATAATATTATTAAAATAACACCTTCAAGAATAAACTAAAAGCCACGAGAGGCTAAGACTGGGCCTGCATACTTCAGTGATGCATTCTCCAAGAATAATGATTCACTGAGATAGAACAGCTTCAGCTGTTTCACCTTACTGACTTTTAGTTAATGATTTCCAGCTTTTTTCATTACTTTAGCTAGCCAGATTCATTGTGTTTATAACTAATAGTTTTATTTGTTTACTCTAAGAAAATGATTTTCAGCTGTTAGCCATGCATTTAGTGAAATGCTTCAACCATTATTTACAATTTCTGACTACATTTTCTATTGACTATGTGGGAAAAAGAATCATGCTATTTGTGGATAGAATCAGAAAATACAGAAAAACAGAACAAATTTATTTATTATTTAGCTCATGATATTCATGGGAAACTACACCCAGGTGTTCTGAGAAAAAAAAACACAACCTTGAGTCATGATAAATAATATTAAAACAAGTAGTTGTGCAGATTAAATTTTTATATAAATTAATTATGAACAAGTTTGTTCGTGACCGGCTGTCACAATCAAATATTTTCATCAGCACTGTTGTTTGTGTTACTAATTTTTAGTTATATTGGGTAAATATTTTGAACTTGTATGTGTGGGTGTGTGTGTGTACAATTATCATTCTTATTCTTAGTTTGAGCTTGATGTGAGTTTAGTCTTCAAATTACAATTACAATGGCAACCTTCTCACAACCCTTTCGAGGCCTGTTTGAGAGTTAAAACTTGGTTTTAGGGTTAAAGTTAGGATCAATTTTTAACAGACTTTTTTTCAAGTCACGGTTAGACTGTTAGGTGTGATAGTTAAGGTTATTTTAAGGGGCTATGCAATGTATTATGTGAATGAATGTTCCCATAAAGCTAGCTTTTCAAACATACCCGGGTGTTTTCGCTTTTGTGTGTGAGTCTGAGTGTGTGTGAGTCTGAGTGTGTGTAGGAGACAGAGAGAAGGACTGCCTGTGTGTCCTTGGAGCTTTGTGGCTGCTGTGAGTCAGACTTCAGGAGCTGTGGAGTGTGAGCTGAATTCTGATTTCTAGAAAACTCCCCGGAGGGTCAGACTGAAACCCAACCTCCAGCTTAACTAGAGTTACCATTATTAGCACCCGTGTTACCCTGAGCATATTGTCTTTTGCTTTTGGTGTCCTGTTTTCCTTTGTTGTATTTTTTGGTAGTCCTAAGGGTATGTTACACCATTTTATGTTATCTCCTATCTGCTTTTTCTTCACAATGGCAACTAACAAACAAAGTGTGAAAGGCTTTTATCCAAGAGGAAAAGGCCTTTATATTACGAAGAGTTGCAGACAGGCTGCCGAGCTATAATATTACATTCTTTCCTCAAGAACTCGTCATGCAAGTTAAGACCAAAACTCAGTCAGTTATTGATTATACTTTAATTTCTACTGGAACAGCTTGTGGCCTTAGGACTTAAAATAGTCTTATAATCTGTTTTTTAGTAAAGAAAAACCTTCATGAGTTTGTAATTTATTTCTAAAGCTACGTTGAGAATAAAAAGCAACAATTAAATTCAAAACCTCTTCTATCTCTTTTTTCTTTTTTTTTTAGTTAGAATTATCAACAGATGGCAGATTATTGGCCAGATGATTCAACCACAACCAAGCAAAAACCGAGCAGGTCACTCCTTCCCACAGGGGACAAAACCTGACAACACTTCGCCGGTGGGTCTGCATTAACGAGAGGTTCAACAGGAGGAAATAAATGAGGCTGAATGAGAGTAAATGGTTCATTCAGACTCTTAGATCTTTTATGCAAGCTCTTTTTACAAGTTGCCTGTGGAGAGGAGAAGAAGGTGGACTGTCTGTCTGCCTTAGCTGAAGATGAATGTGCAACTCTGGAATCAGACAGTTGTGTCAGTGAACGTTTCCTTTTGACTGAAAGGAGTATTAAACACGTGATGACGAGAGAAACTGAAGTTTGTTTTATAGTCTCAGCAGAGACAGACTTCTAATCAAAACAGGATTAATAAATAATCGCTCAAAGGCTCTTATAATGGACAAATATGAAGGCTTTGAAGGCTTTGAAGGGAGAAATGCCACATGGGATAAAGCTGGCCGTTCAAATCAATTTAACCGAACAGAGATTTAGACTGACAGGTACCGATATCCACTAAACTTAAATGGGAACGGGCTAAAGAAAAGAAAAGTGAAATTCACTAAAAATTTGTCATATGAGAAAGAGTGCCCTTGAGAAACATTTACATGTTACATAAAGATTACCAAAGTACAGCTCAGCACATAAAAAGGTGTGGGTAACAAAATAAATAAATGTAATTTAGACAATTCAAACAAGTTTGATTTTACATGAGTATTTTTATTTTATGCAACTTAATATTTTACCACAGAATTTACACGGTCCCTTCCCCTGCTTTTGTTTAGCGTACATCATCACTATAAAAGAGGGTCTCCAACAGCTGCTCCTCAAGAAATCCCATCTGTCGCTGGCATCAGCATTGAAGCCTGGGCTGGCTTCAGTGTCGATGCCAATTACGAAGCACGATACTCAGTTCTGTCTATTCTATTGCACCAACTATTGCACTTTTTACAAAAAATAAATATGTGGACTGATTGTCTGCTTGATTACCAGCTATAATCTTAAAAAGTTTAAACATAGTTGCACAAATGAAATGCTGATGTCTGATGTCTGACACCTTTTAGTCAATTAGCTTATTTGACTGGCTGACTTCAATATCTCCTGGCCAAATAGATAGAACTCAATTCTATCAATGGGAATTTTGCATATGTAATATTACTAAGTGTTACTGTTAAAGAGTTCCCACATTTGATGAGCAAAGTAACCAAAAGCAGAACACTTTGCATGACACCTTAAGGCTGTCAAAAGCAAATGCATTTCCAATTTCACCCACAATCTTACTGGTTGCTGTTTTTTTTTTTTAATATAACTGGGATGTCAACATCTCATCTACAAAACTAGGATTTATTAAATGAGCACAACACCAGCTAGCTTGACTTGCTGATAAAATCTGAGACGCGAGAGATTTAGATGTCTCACATAGAGTATCAATGAATAAAAAGCAGCATACAAATATGAAAATATTGTAAAAACAAAAGAAGAAGAAGAAGTTCTTACACATAAGTATTCACACAAAGAGATATTTTATTAAGATCATTTCAAATTCTAACATTAATAACTTCTATAATAGTTGAACAAGCTTGAGTAAATAAGACAGTAATTGCATCTTCCATGCTCATTTTATTCATCTTCAGGTCACACTGATGTGAAACTTTCTGCAAACTATCAGCTATCTGTCTCCCTCACTTGATAATTCAGCTCCTCTGTGGGCGTAGCCTCCCACCATGACCACATTTCCACAGGGCATGAAGTTTATAGAGACACACAGAGTGAAGGAGAAATAACAAGAGAGAGAGCTCTTTTTTGCCAGGCAATGGATGCATTCTGGTCAACAACAGAAGTGCAAAGTCAGGCATCACAAGTGACTGAATAGTCAGTGACTTCACCTTAAGGGAAATGCAGTGAGGGCCAAGAGAGAGGATGTTTGACCGCTAAGTATGCCAGGAAAGGTCATTTGAGGCTGGAAGGGAGGTAGAGGGGGTGAACTACATTCTTAAGGACTGCACCAGCTTTGTGAGAGTTTGGCCCATTTGTCACTTTACCCAGGATGTGATGAGAGGGCTGATGCTCCAGCAGAAAGCTAAGTGCAGCACACATGCTGACATTTCTGTAAACGGGTTGACTGCATTACTGCATCTTTAGAGCATCAACCACAGTTAAGTGTTTGCAAAAAAGAAGACATTGGAGTTCTGTCATTGTGAATTTCAAGGAAAATCTACCTTTAGAATTACACTAAGCTTGACACACTAAAGGTTTATGACAGCAGTGCTAAGTTTACAGTTTTTAGAATTATTTCACACTTTTTCACTTTTTGGAGTTTTTTTGAGTGTTAGGTCTTAGAATACTGCCTCAGATATTTGTAAATTATGTGATGCTCTTAAGTTCATCAGTGCTCCAGCCTGATAAGATTATGAATACGAGGGGTAAAAATTAGCTTCCAAAAGGTGTCTTAGTCTCACCCTTACAGATCGTTTTCACTTTGGAGAAAGAGTTTGTATTTCCCGAAAAGAACTGGAGGAGTTGGCTGAGGAGAGAGCGGTCTGGGCTTCTGTGCTTGGACTGCTGCCCCGGTGACCCAGATCTTTACTGGCAGTACAAAGGGGATGGATGGATTTAGCTTTCCTTAGCTCTTTTATTTACAGTAAGGAACATGCAAATCTACTTATGTTAGTTAGCATCAAAGCTGTAAGAAGAATTTACACAATAGTGAAGATCAAACAATTTTTTCTCTTACTGAATCATATTAAAGCTGTGGTATGTGTGCTTTAGTGACCAGTAGAAGAAGCTACACTTCTGAAAGACACTAGGACCTTGAGTTGTAATACAATCAAAATCAACTTAGAGGTTGTTATTTCATGTATCTATATAATGTCTATTTTACTACTGTAAAATCTATATTTTACTACTGTATTTTTACAGCAAAAACATCCTATTGTAATAGCATTTACAATAAAGTCGCTTTAAATTTTTTTCATTGTACTGTAATTTCATTTGCAAGAATTGTATTAAAAATAAAAACATATTAAAAACGTGTTAACATTTTTTTTACAGTATCTTACTGCTATCTAGCCTCCAGTAAGTTACTGCTGAACTTATGATAACCTGTTCACAGTTTGTGTACAGTTTAAAGTTACTGTCACTTTTTTAAAAAAGTATTTTCATATATATATATTTATGCTAACCGACATCAGATTTTAAAGTCATATTAGGCAAAATTAATTATGAAAAAAGAAGAAGTTTAAACAGAATTTATAAGTACTTTTATTAAAGGATTCGAAAATAATAAATGCAAAGGAACTCAGTAGCACCGAAAGCCTTTCACCACACAGTCTAAAACTGCCTCTTTTTGCTGCTGTCATTCAGATTTAAGAATGGATTCAAAAACTACTTGCCAGCCCATCATTGGTCAAACCTGACCTCCACTGTACCCCTCCATTTTCTCTAAGAAAGGACCCCCACAGTAAACTCCTGTCGCCCCTCGGCAGATCCTCACTACCCCATCCCACCAGTCCCACATCACACCACCTAGAATGGATCAGCCTGCCCATCTCCAGGGGCAACCTGAACACCCCCACCTCCCACCCCGAATAGACACAATCTGACAGGAAGCAAGGAGCAGCCAGGGAGGGCTGGAAGCAAGAAAAACCTCAAAGAGAATAGGGGAGGCAGAAAAGAAGAAAGAGGCTCCATACAGCATGACTGAGTGCTGAGAGAGATGTTAAGTTCACAGGAATGATTTGGAACAGCTCACCAGGCAGCCTCAGGCAGCAGTCATGTCTTGTTAGCTGTTAGCCGCTGACTCTGTGCGCTGGAGGGCAAAACTTTTAAAGCAGTGACAAAAGCCATAAGCTACAAGTCTCTGGGTGTTAGCTACAGCAGCCGTTAGACTTGTGTGAGTTTGTGTGTGTGAGTGTGTTGTAGTCTGTGTGCCACAAGCCGATTAGGCAGATCTGCTGTGAGTTTTAAGGGCTTATGCCTCAGACCAAGTGAGAAAAAACAACAGCACTGGTTTCATTATATACTTTTTGGAAGAGATAGAAACTTGCTGCTGCTTTAGAGAAGCAACACCTTTTGAAGTTATGGGAAAGGGCAGTGAACACAATGACCTGATTGCTTATGGCCCCCACAGAGAGCCAGCTGTATCATCTGTTGCTGAGAGCCCACAACTAATTGATTGAGTTAAAATTTACCCTATTGGAAAACTCCACTCGCCACATGCTTAAATAGAAATTAACAGCAACATTTACATTACATTTACCATATCCACTCAAAAAATGAAAGGAAGTGATCAGATATGCACCAAGATGTAATGCCTTTTACGATTCTAGAATAAAGTAAAGCTGATCAATACAAACAGATTAGCCAAGTCAAACCTTGGTCCTTACATAAAAGTGGTTATATAAACATGGAAGGGTTGTTACATTCTCTAAAATCTATTATGTGCTGGGTTTGTACAGATGCAGTAATTCCATTTGTATAACAGCCATTTCCTTGAGGCAATGTGTGAACATTACATTTAAAGGTCAAAAGAATAAGTTTCTTAGTGACTCCCATATGTGCAGAGCAATCTGCATATCAAATTTAAGTTGATGAGTTTCTGCAATGTTCAGAGATCAAATTGTTGGTCTTAATTTCTCTGCAACAGGTTTTTAAGAACAGTGCGTAATATGGTCTGTGATCGTGTAAGTATGTGAATCAGTATGTAATGGATTTTAACAGCGCTATAAATTGTCTTTCCAGAACTCTGTTGATCTACTGAAACCTCTAAATTTAAACCACTGGATCAGGCTTCACATATAGAAGATGAATAGACAGAAGTAAAAAAGTTCACAGATTATGATACTGTACACTTTAGATGTTCAGAATTTGGAATGAGAAATAGATTCTGTATAAAGGATTGTTGGTTACACAGAATTCAAATGAAGGACTGTTTCTTTTTATTTTTTAGTTATCGAAAAGGTTTGACTTTGGAAAATGAACTTAGTAGTTTGTTAATATGTAAATTGGCCCCTAAAATAAACAGTAGATCTGCATGAGTTCTGGTGCTTTTCTTTTCCCGATTGCAAACGTTCACCTAACTGCCCAAGTTTAAATCAAAGTTTTTTCCATGTGGAACAGTAATAATAATACCCTATTTGAATTCCTATATATGAGACTGACAAGAAAAGACATTCAGTGATGCTGTCTGAACAAGTGCAAGCTGACTTATATTATAGAGAAAGGTATTTTCAATTATTATATGAATATTCAAATTAAGGCCTGTATAAGTAAACAAAAGTGGAGAGCTGCAGGATAACAACCAGGTAACAATTCAAACTTTTCTCATTGAGTGTGAATGTAAACCCAAGATTCAGCACTTTACATAAATGCTGAATTTTGTATTTTTGTATTTGTAATTTCTGATGCAGCACTGAAAATTGATGCATACACTTGTACATTGTGTTGAATATATGTGACGTTTTTACAGCTAAATGAGGAGAAAACACATCTCAAACCTGAACTAATTAACTTTGAAACTGTTTCTCCAAAGAGAAAATAACAAAAAAGGAAATACATCAATAAATAAATAAATTTTTAAAACTTTATTTCTATTAAGGTATTGATTGCATGTTAATGGCACAGTTATTTCCACTGGCTTATACTTTTTTCTTCTTTTTTTTTGTGCCATAATTGATTTATTTACTTACTTACTTACAGGTTACATATATTTATATCTACCAGGTGCAACATAAGGATAACAAATTTGGCTAAATATATAAGACACAAAACCCTGAAAACAAGTAATTCTGCAAGATGGGCATTTCACCTTTGATGCCTGATGCACAATGTGCTGATTCTTTTCCTTCTATTTCTAGCCTATTTTTAAATTGTGCTATCACTACTTTTTTCTTTACAACATCCGATTATTACATCTAGCTCTGCACATGCTATCACTAAACATCTCTGGGGTAACGTTGTGATGCTGAGGTTGTTAAGTGATGCTGTTAGCGCACTACTTTGTATTACCAAGCTGTATCACTCATTGTTCGGCATTTCAAGTGTAACGATCCAAAAAATTCGTTCCATAGAAATGCAAACGGTGTTTCGAAATAAAATGCATGCGTAGCAAGGTCAGAGGCTTAAACAAATATCAAAAGAAGTCGAAAACCTAAAAGCGCGTTTTACACTAATGAAATTCGCAAAACAGATATAAAGGACTTACTTCATGTTTAGACTTCTCGGCTTGGTTTTGCAGAAATTAATCGGCGTCTCTTCTCGAAGAAGCCTCGGCACAGGTGCAGGTGTTTGTATCTATTTCCCGACCGAAATTCCTCCAGGAGTCTCTCACTGCTGAAGCGACTGCAGATGAGAAGTAGAGATTTTCACTCCCGTCCTTCCCCGCCACCAAAATGAGAGGAGGTGGAGAGAGGAGAAACTGGGATGTGAGCACTTTTAAAAGCCCAAGAACTCCCTCCTCCTCCTCCTTCTGCTAAAGAATGAACAAATGAGGATACTTATCATCAGTATCATAAGCGGGTCGTCCCCATAGCCCATAATTTGATGCTGGTAAACTAGTTCATGCATTCATTACATCTATAAGACTATTGTCATTCAGTGTTATCTTTCCCCCCCTAAAAGTTTCCTAAAAAGCCTCCAATTAATCCAAAACGCTGCAGGGAGAGTGTGACCAGGTGCAAGAAAGAGAGGTCATATTTCTTAAATACTGGCTTCTCGTCATTGGCTCCCTGCTAATTCCAGAATATATGCTAAGTTTAAAATAGTTCTCCTGACATATAAAGTGTGGTCTCAACTTTTAAGACTTAAAACTTTCCTTTTGATAAAGTTTATAGTTAGGGCTCAATCGGGTGAGCGGAATCATACCTTACTTATGCGGGACTTCACGTGATACACCATGCAATTATTCATCTCTTACCTCTTTTCACCCCACTGCAGCATGACATTAAATGTTCTTCTTCTCCCATAGCGTCGACGGTTAAAGAGTCAATAATTGACATTTATGGCCACTAGGGGGAGGAACAATTCCACAAGAATCTGACGAAATGCTCTAATATATAATGCCCTTATTAAGGGCTAATGCCTGCAGTCTAACCCAGATTTCCAGCAGACTCAATAAAATTAGCATTCAGCTGTAGTCTCAAAACATTACCACTCACAATCATGTCTGGATCTCCAAAGAAGGAAAAAAGTGACACGTTTTCTGATGATTTATGCTAGAATCTTGGGAGATCTGCATCTCATTTCACAAACTGTGTGTCACATAATTACAAGATAACATCTCAAAATATAATTAGTCAGTATTCTTGCATAATGATATTGTGGTTATCTGACTTCCTGTTGTTTGTTTCTTCACTTTGGACACAAATTGATGTGACTAATTCATCAGTGGCAATTTGAATGTCAATTACAAATTGCAAAGTCCGTCTATGTGCTCACTAGCTAATTTGGTGTTTAATAAATATTTTTCTCTGAGCTTTTGTTTTGGCAAAGAGCTCAAGAGTAGTGATGTTGAGCCATATAGTAATATGTGTATCAAAACGAATGCTGTAAGAGACTAAAGCGCCACAAAGCTGGAATATGATTGTAAATGTAACTTTAGCGACCAAATATTGAGGTAAGCTAGTAGTTTTAGCATGTTATAAGTGCTTGAGGTCATGAGATCACCATCCAAAAATTAAGCAATGTTCATGGAATTTGTAATTACTAAAAATAAACATGTTTGTTTATTAGTTTATTTATAAGGAACCCCATTAGCTTCCACAACAGTGGTTGCTAGTCTTCTCGGGGCCCAAACCATCAAATACAATCAAATAAAATATTACACAAAAAGTGGATGCTAAATATCTGCAATAAACAATAATAAACTGTTAAATAAGAAAACAATCCAAGGGTCATACTGTATAAACCAGTTTTTCCACTCACAGGTTAGCTCTTTGACCCTAGAGTGTCCTAGTTCATGTTGCATATTTATTAGCAAAGCCTATACATTTAATTATTCTATGAGATCTTTAAATGTTACAGGGGAGCAGCAAGAACAACTTTGTATTCACTGCTGGGCACTTGAGTGTCACTGGACACAGTAAAAACCATTAATGTGAGATAAAGTGAATGAGTGAACAAATTATAGGGGATTCAATATGCCTCTACCCTATTTTATAGTGTATTTTAAACAGATTTGTAATAAATCTAGAAAGTTGCTTATTCCAGAGATTTCTATTTCCTCCCGCATAGTTTTCATAACCCACATGCATGACACTATAAGAACTTAAGCTTCCACATATCCTGACCCTTCTACCAACCCACTGTATGTACTGTAGGTTAACTACTGTAGAAATCTGCAAAACAGACAAATTCCTGATGGCTTGGACGTGAGCAATAAAAACTGATTATGCACATAGAGCTGAGGCTGGGCCATGACTAATATATTTGCTGTGTGATATGTCTGAAAAGGGTAATCTGCAGAGTCTAGCTCCCAATAACTTGACCCCGGGGCAATAAATTCCATAAAATCCATATTGTATGGCATAATGACACACACCGTGGTCTTGCATGTATTCCAAGGTCTAATTAATCCAGCAGGTAGTCACTTAATCTTCTTTAATTTCAAAATTCAAGAATAATTTAAATCAATAATGTGCAATCACATTTAACAAAGGGAAATGTTGACCAAAAGAATCAGTGAGCCAAAAGTTGTTTCTCATTTGAAATGGTCAATATAAAAAAGATTTCAAAAATATTAGACTTAATACAGCTATAGAAGAAAATCCAAAGCCTCTTTAATTTAAAGCTCTGGCTTTCACTTTTGAATCTAATAACAGGGAATAAAATCAAAGTATTCACATTATTGGCCAGATGCAAAGAGATTAAGAGGGGATAAACAGCATGGGATAATCTAGAGAATGGATTAAACCACATGTCGCTTCACAGCAACAAAGGGGCTGTACGTGGTCTGCAACTATATTTACAGTAGATGGATGATAGTGTCAAAGTTAAATCCACATGAAAGCCAAGGCCAAAAGTTTCCCAGTAGAACAAGATGAGATGAACGATAGTCATTCCACTTGTCAATTATTTTAATGTTCTGGCTGACTGGTGTACTTAATTACAGTGGTCTGTGGGGGGCACCTGCTTTTTGGGACATTGATTGATTTCCTCTCACGACTTCTGCTGGTTAAACACTGTTATCCTACTCTGTAATGTTACTTATGTGCTTTTTTGTTGTAGCAAGTGTCTTAGCCTCTGTATCTAAAACATGTTGTGTTAATATACACTCATTATATTTGGAGTATTGTTTCTTGGTTGGTTCTGGCCTTCTGATATCTATGTATCAGTTTAATATATTTGTTGAAAATAGAGGAGAGAAATGTTATGTTATATTACTTTCATGATTTAAATAGTTGTGTTACCAGTTGCCTTTTTAACAGTCTTACATTTGTTATTTCAAATGTAAATTTCCCAGCATTGCACATGAATTGAATAGCATTAAATTTGGCAGTTAGGTCAGCAATAGTTGTCTACTATACCTACCTTGTTTTGCCAGAATTTTCCAGATACAAAGTTACGAGCTCAGTTTGCCAGCTGAGAAGCCAAAACAGCTGTTAACAGATTATGAAAAGAAGAGCAAAGAAGGACGTGAATAGCTTGGTGTTAACTCGTCTGCCATGGATGAAGTGTTACATCCCTGCAAAATTATCGAGATAAATTTGATTAAAAACCTGTTAAAAAAAACACATAACATTAAAATTTCAAGTTAGGACATGATTCTTCAAGGCTTCCTGCTCCTTGTGAGTCCCCTTGTGCTACCACAATCACATTAAACAGATCTGACCCACTGTTGCTAAGAAATTACCCCAATTAATACCAGTATAAAACAAAGTGGATGTGTGCTGAATCCAATAAATCTGTGCTGCTGAGCTCTCAGGGTGTGACAGCATGGTGTTTTGGTGTATGTAGAGATTTTCTAACAAAGACCTAGAAAGTGCTGGTGAATCACTGTTGGTGTTTGTGTGCAGTATTGCCTGTGACGTTTGGTATGTTCTTACTATTTTAATGAGCTTCTCTGCTATAGCAGATGTGTCTGGTGTTGCTTTCTCAGGAAGGATGGCATTCTGTATAATTAATTCACTACAGCTGAATTCACAGTGGGGGAAAAATGCTGATACGTTCACCTTTAAGGACAAACAGCTGCCAAAGGGGACATAAAGTGGAACAGTATGAGACTGTGGAAGAATCGTATGCTTACACCAGCAAAGTGGTGTAAAGTTGGAAGAGTAGAAATATGTTGATGCAGCTGCTGATGTGCTCTGTGGAAAGGCTAGCCTTCAATAAAACAGGGAATTCATACGCTTTGTGCCATTTGTCAGATCTGACATTTGACCAAGGTCTGTTCTGTCAAAAGACTTTTAAAAAGGGGTGAATTCTGAGACGAAAAGCAACACTAACAATAAGTAATCTCAGAACTCAGCTATCAGGCCATTGGAGCCATAATGATTGCTGTTTTAGATATAGACATCAATTCTATGCATCTGCAGGATGTACCAGAATGCACTGGAACATACAAAAAAGAATAATTATTTTAAATTTTGTCCTTCAATCTTTGTTTTGGTAAAAGAATCATCAACTGGCAGCGATTATACTCTTGTAGACCTTTGACATTCAGCATGCAATTTATTGAAGGAATCTGGAACAACATAAGTTAGAATTGCTGTGCTCTGCTTTTCATTTTATGAGTTTTTTGTTTGTTTGTTTTTTTCAAATTAAAAGCCAGGATATGTGGAAAACAATGTTATGCATATATATGACTATGCCGTAGACACTAGAAGTCCAGACGCTTTTCTTTTCAAGCTCCTTAGACTACGATGACCTGGACTGAGAACCTTCACAGACATACTGTAGACACTATTGACAGAACATGTATGCACTATATGGTGGGCTGGTTGCCAAAAGTGCTTAATGGGGTTGAAATCCAGTGACTTGACTCCAATACAGAGTACCAGCCCACAGCTTCTTTACATACTTTTTGCATCCTTTGGAGCTTTGTCATTGTCCTATTGGAAAACAAACCTGCTCCAATCAACTAGTATCCACACTGAAAAATAGTCAAACTTTCCTTATCATGATGCCTTTGATCATGCACAAATCTCTCACTTTGCCTTTATATTTCCCCACCAAAAGGAACTGGAAATGTAAAGGTATTTCCTGACAAATGGCATCTAGTCTTATAAATAAACCCGTTAATCCAAAATCTTATTTTCTTCTTGAATTTGCCTTGCCCAGTGTTTGCACATTTTTGCCCATCTTAACCATTCCCTCTATTGGCTAGGGCCAGACAGGTCTTTTTTTTTTCTTTGCAACTCTGTCTACAAGGCCAGTTTCCCGGAGTCGACTGCTCACTGTTGATTTTGAGACTAATGCTTTGTAG